GTAGTAGTAGTAGCAGCAGCAGTGCATTGGTAATAGTTGTAGTAATTCGTATGAGTCGGTCCTGTGAGAGCATCTTCTCCAAAGATGTAGAGAGTCGACACCCTGGGATGCAAATCAGCCGGCGATCTTCGAGGTTCTGGAATCCATACAAGTTCATGCCAAGCTACATGAGAGGGCATCCGATGAAACTAGTTGCCGCCAACCACCTGCCAGCTGCACAAGACGCTGACAAGCGAGGTCCCTTGCTTTTCAGCCTGACTTCTGGACCTTCGGACTTGGACTAGCAGCCTCGGCATGCCAAACTAAGCTTTCCTTTCCTTCATCGTCTCTCCATCTCTCTGTCTCTCGCCCCACTGCCGGCCTCCCCTGCCCCCTGTGGGAAGGGGCCCTCTGATTCTTCGTGCAGGCAAGGTCGCCTTTTTCGACGTTAGGCCCTGTTCCGGACCGTATCAAGACGCCACGAACGAAATGCAACCAACCAGCCTCTAACCCGCACGCACCTCGTCTCCTTCTATCTTTCGTTCTTTCTCTCTCCCTTCCCATGCCATCACAAGGTCAAATCATGGGGTCGAGGCATGGGGCACCTACCCAGCTACAAAGAGGCACACTCACGCAGTCACGCCCCGGGTGCTGATTTAGCCGAGCAGACAGGTCCTGATTTAGTTAGCTGGGATGGCAGCCGTTTCAGCAACAATCCATGGAGGGACCAGCAGATCAACTTTACATGGGATGAAGATGATGAAGGACGAAAAGCTCACCACATGACGCTTGAACTCACTCACCAACCAGAATTCTGCACATTCCACCGGCTTCGTGGCAGGCTTACGGCTGCATGGACAATGGATCCACCCGTCATGAGGCACCACAAGAACTTGGTTGTCCAGAGCAGGCAAGCCAACATTCTGTGCAGCCACAGGTTGGATGCACACCTCCGGTCTGCAAGAATGCCAGCCAGTGCGATATTCACAAGCTCTCAAGAGGCACATGCTACTCATGTCGCAAATCGGGCAAAGTGCCAAGGACACTAAACCACCTACTTGGCTGGGACCTAATATTTCATTGCCTCTTATTTGCCAACGAGTTTTGGCTCCCAAGCTGCAGTGCCTGCCCTAGGCGAGACCGGCCTGTAGGCCTTGAGGCCCAGGAGAATGCCCTCTCCGGCAAAGACCGCACCTTTGCACCACTACAACTCTGCCAAAAAGCAGCCACTTGAAGCCCAAACCATGAGTCCTAAATTATCCTTTCTGGTTGTGACTGCGAGGGTGATGACAACCGTACGTCTGCTGATTCGGACAGCAAGGCTATACATAATGAATACATGTTGGATGGAGCACTCGGACAACTTAGGCTCTCACAATACAGATAATAGCCCTCACTATGAGAATATGGCTTTGCGTCACTAATGCCGTGCGCGCGACGGCTACAACAACAGCGACAAGAACTTCTCCAGAGCTAACCGCAAACAGTGACAGAATCTACCTACATACCCAAGAACCTTTCCAAACACCCTGAGGCTTCCAACACCGTCCCATGGCACCCGCGGCACTGTGGTGGGAACTTGAATTTGGAAGAGTCGCACCCAAAACACACACGGCACTGTGGTGGGAGCACGGGTTTTTGGGATGTGAAAATGCGCAGGATTGCGATGCAAGGAGACGTCGTCCTTTCTCAAAATCCGCGCGGCACTGTGGCGGAGGCACCATGCCAAAAGTATCACCCTTCATTGACACGGAAATCCGGGACACCTCTGCCTTGAACCCGCTGGATGCTCCGTCGAACCCGCTCACAATGCACCGGCGTGAATCCATCGGCTTTTTGCCAAGAGTCCGTTGAGGATCTGCAGCATTGCGGCCAGAATCCTGGGTTTGAACCGAGTGGGTGTTCAATTGTACAAAAGGGGCCGTAATAATCCCAGGAATAGGGATTCGTAGTCTTGGATCGTATAGCTACATAGGGGCTATAAGGGAATACTGTTTTAAAGCTTCTAAAGACCCCTGCTGCAACTCGCGGTACCTGTTTTGCTGTGCATCAGACGGCCCGAAGCTCCACCGTAGATCCTGTTGAGGCATCTCGGGCATCAGAGTGGGTGCTCACACTGACACCTGTAATCAACCCAAAGACACAAGCCCAAAAACCGGCGAGGGCTTTTGGGATAGCTGCCAGTAAAGCCCAGAGATACATTCTCCCGCCAACCGGGACCTGCCCGAACTTCAGCTTCGGAGGAATCAATTCCACAGCTGCCATGGGATTGAAGAGGCACAGGCTGCAAGCGAGTGCAGCCAGCGCACTCAGTCCGATGATTCCGAGCTTCACCTTCTTTTCCATGCCCTTCCCTGCACGTTGTTGAAATGCCCCAAACCCTCTAAACCCTAAACCACCGGCTCTTTTTCGGGCTTCAGGTTCAGGTTCAGCGCATGGAGTGTAGGGCCCCTGAATCCTCAACTTCGTAACCCTTTTTGGGGACCTTTGTTTCATTGCTTTTCCCAGTATTTAAGATATGTCGAAAGACCCTTCCTCCAGAACAACACCCGTACCCCAAACCCCAAACCCTCAACCTCAAACTAGCCCTTAACTAACCACCGAAAATTCCCAGGAGCCCTAAACCCTAAAAGGCAACCCAGGTACGCTTCCAGGATCTTGCTGGGCTTGGGGCGCTCAGTTGGCTCGGTGCTCAAGGCCTTCCAAGAGGGTTTAGGGTAAGGTTTTTGGGGGTTTAGGGTAAGGTTTTTAGGAGTTTACGGTTGGCGCTCACACTCGGACAAGCCAGGCGACGTAGTTGGTGAGTAGTCGGATGTGGTGAAACACTTCCGAGAAGGTTCTGACTCTTGGTTTAGGGTTTCGGCTCTCACACTCGGCGGGTGAAAGCAGATAGAAGAGAAAGCTTGGACAAAACACACACACACACACCCTGCAGAACTCAAGGTTTCATGTTGACATCTGGTCTGACATGACAGTGACAGCGTCTGAACAATGAATTCCGAGACCGAAGGAGCACTTCCAAATACCCCCGAAGAAGACCCGCAGCTACGTCTACACCAGGTGACTCAGGACTCAGTACTCACCGACTCTTCTGACACGACACTCGCCTAAGTGTTCCCCTCTTGCATGGCTGAGGATCTATGCCCACTAGCGAAGTACATTATGGGAGTACCTGACGACTGTGCAACTGCGATGTAGATTGGCCTGCGAGGATGCCTAAGCCCTATATAAGCCCTAGCGAGCGACACAGGGCAACGATCTCTACCGCATGAAACGATCCTTGTCACGAATCTGCCCTCCAAATTTGAAATCCAATAACCGCGATGAGGAGTGAGTGATCCGATGTGACAAAGACAAGAGGCTACTCTACCAAGAGAAGTGCCTATCAAAGGACTGTACCAGTGACAAAAGGCCCCACATGCAGCAGCACACTTATGCAACAGCAGCAAAATGCCGATGGAATTCCTAATTTAGCCACTACTAATTATGTGAACAAGCAACGAATTCACAGCAACCTCACTCCAATGGGATTTCTTTTCAGGGTTTTTAGGGCTTCGGGGATTTGGGTGCTTCAGTTTAGGGCTTGTGGCTTTAGGCTTGGGAAGCTGCCACAGCATTCGGCTGGGGGGGCGAGTAGAGCAGCACATTGATTCCAGCTTAGCTGCAGCACCGACACCTCACCTGTTTCCCAAGCCAGCATAATTGCGGTTCTTGAACACTGTCCTTCTTTGGATCCTTGTCTGGATACCTGAAATATCTCTTATACTTCCGGTACCCCAAGAAAAGCCCACAATGTAGAGCAACGCCAAATCTACAGGGCTTCATTGATGAGCCTGCTAGAGCACGTTCTGGCTGCAATCAAGGCTTCGGGGCGAGGGGGAGTAAGTAGCCTCTGAGTTCGCATCACATGCGATTCACACATGTTTTGGGGATGACTGCGGGTGTCTTCGCCGGCTTACTGCTTAGAACCTTGGCCCCTCCCCCCCCCCCACATAAACCCTAAAGGTCCTACGTACAAACCTCAAAATCGTGCGGTCGGTGCCTTCAAGAGTACCTCGTCGAAGCCTGTTTTCATCCAGTCATCCACCAGGGTCCAGAAGAACTTCGGCACTTGCGTTGCCTTTCGGGTTTGCATTGAGCCTCTGGGGCTTTCGGATTTAGGGTGTCGTGGTTTGGGTTTAGGGCTTGGGGTTAAGGTTTAGGGTGGGGGTTGGGTTGAGGGTTTGGCGTTTGGGCGGGTCGACCTGACAGGAACCAACACCATCAAACTTTGAACCCTAGTCACTGAACCTTAGGCAACAGATTCTTCCGGCGTATTACTATCGCTGTTAGGTGCCTGATTGGAAAAGAACTCAAGGCGACATCCTAAAGGTCTTCAGGGCGAGCCGACTCCAAATCCTAAGCCCTAAACCCGGGTGCAACAAGTAGGGATTCGACTGGAAGGGCTTTCGGGGCTTCTTTGTCTTCGGGTTTTTTGGGCTCTGCAGGGTTTGGGATTCTTGCTTAGGATTTAGGGTTCAGGGTTGGGGGTTTCAGCACTCACGCTCGGACTTGCCTGGGCGAGGTTCCTGGTACGTCGAAGGCACATAGGCCACAGGGTTTGGGGCCTAAAAGCCTGGACGCTAGAACCTAAAACCGGAGCACCAACGACTGAAACCCGAAGCCTTCATCATGCCCCAACAACTCTAAACGCACCAACACAGCCCTAAATTCAACCGGAAACCCTAAACTCAAAACCCGAGGTTTTAGAACACAATAACTGGAGTGCGATTCTCAGGGCCTTCAAGTCGGGAAGAGCGTAGAGGGTGGTGGCAGGCGTCTTGGAGGTGCGGCAGTGCACGAGACTCGCCCACGCTGCCTTTCGCTCGTTGCCAGTTGCTTTCCGGATCGCCTCAAGACGCTCATCGAATAACCTGGGTTCTTGCTGAAGAACTGAAACCACGTTACCGTTACCAGAGTAAGGGAACCATGTTCTTTGCGGTACTGTAGCGGAAAATTGAAGTTCCTTCATTAACAAGCAAGAACCAGGAACTTCTTGTAGTGCTCGATGGAGATATCACTCGTACACTGGACCAAGGCATTGAAGAACTTCTGCGTTGCAGGCGTGGCCACGGCAGATGCACAGTCCACAACCTTCTGCACAGTAGCCCAATTTGACATTGAGTTCTGAGCTCCGTTCGTTAGCAGGACTGGAAGGACTGGTACTGCGGCAAGGGAGACTCCCCCTGGCATCACCAACCCAGAATTCCCATCCGTTGCCATGCCAAGGATGGAGAGGGCAGCTGAGTGTACATCGAAGGACCACACCGGCTCGTGCCATTCCACTTGTTGCTGAAAGAGAGAAAGGTGTGAAACCTCAGCGCTGTCTGGTACGATGCAAGAACGTTTTTTCAGTGGCCATGTCATCGGCTAAATAAGCATAAGTTAACATAAGGCCCTTGAGTGTAACTACGTACCGAACCGCACAGTACCTTAAAGAGCTCCTCAGGCCGTATATATGGGCCTGCTACAGAAGGCTTTGGTATATTTGGGATTTATGGCTTGCGACCTCATCTCTTCAAGCTCAATGGAAAGCAGCAGCCTGTGCTTCAGATCTGGGGTGTTCGCTTGCCTCTGAAACCGCCGAAACCCTAAACCCTTGTTGCCGTTATCCAGCAGCCCGGTCTAGCCATACCCTGGGACCCTATAGCAAATAACCCCAAGAAGTTGGAAACCGGACTAAGGGCAATTAGCGCTGGGCTTTAATCAAACTTTGGTCTTAATTGAGGCTATTTGCTCTCCATCTACTGTAAACCCTAGAGCTCTGAATCCTGACTCGCCACCTCGGGGGGTCGGAAGATTGGGGTGGTGCCACTGAGCTGGCGCGGGCACCGCAACCCTTTGCAAACCACGGTGCCCATGTCGACGATGACCGTTTGACCGGTGTCCTTCCGGACTTTCAGCTTCGTCGTCCCTACCCAAAACAGCGCCCCCCCCGCCCCCCCCTCCAAAGAAACAAGACAACAACGAGTCCAGGATGTGTACGAAAAAGGCGGGCCCTTGTAGATACTTGCGGGATACTGCGCCCAGTTTTGGGAAGCTTTGGATGCATTTCAAAGGGGACCAGTGGGTTTTGGGGTTCCTTGCTATAGCCTTCCATAGCCCTGTTCACGCGCACTCTTTATATAGCTATAGTACAAGATGCGAGTCGATTTAAGTACTAATGAGCACCCCGCTCACAGTGATCTGACATGACGACAGCAAGGCTGCTGCGACCACAACCAGAAATTTCTGAGTCCACTCTGTCATGTCAAGGACATATGGGTTATTGTCTATATAACAGAGCCGAAGCAACCCTCGAAGCGGGAAAAATACTTCGGGCAACAGGAGCGGTGAACCCTTTCTGTACTTTGCGCGCATCGCTGTTGCTTTGTTTTCGTATTATCAAAAAAATCATTATTCATGTATTGATTTTTTGGCTGATTATTAAGAACACGCTTAGGAATTGATGTTAAACGACCCTCTCCTCATTGATCACCATATTCTGAGGTTTTAGGTCCATATGAACCCACTGGTTCGCGGTCTTGCTCTCAGCCATGAACCGGAGGCCGAAGTAGACGCCCTTGGCCACAGACTTCAAGTGCTGCACATAGTCACCATCAGCGAGCTTCTGCTTCAGCTTCTTCCCCCACCATTTGTCCACATCGTCGAGGCCAGCAAAGCTCATTTCGATGTAATATGGTTCACTCCCAGTGCGGCGGCCTGCCGTAAAAATGATCTGTTTCAGGTTGGGGGGCCATGCGAGTGTAAACAGCAACGTTAAATTAAGGGTACTTGGACATCTCACTTCGCGTGAGAGTCATACTAGTAGCTCGCCACACTCTGAACAACAACGTCACCTGTGATGCCATCGTAGAGGCACTTGACCACGTGATCGGAGGCCTCCCTGTCCTCACTATCAGCGTCATGGATGCCTCAGTTCAGTGACCTAACTCCCCACTAGTTCAATGTGCGTGGGTAAGGGTTGGCCTTCTGCACGGTTGGGGGTGGCACGGCTTCGACGACTAGCATATCCGGATGCAGCTCCAGGCCACGGAGCACATGCATCTGTTGTTTATCGTGGCCACTGCTACGGAAGAAAAGAAGGCTCTTGAGCAGCTGAGAGTCGCTGGGTGTCCAGACATTCCGAAGCACTTGACGTCACAACGGCAAGGCACTGCACTGATTTGCACGTTGCCGGCGTCGCCCAAGATCCTTTCTCATCCTTGAAGACCTTTACAGCCACCTTCCTCAGATGGCCCTAGGCCCTAAAATCCCTGTAAGAAATATTCCTACCTAGGATCCGCTTAAACCATCAAAGGGACAAATCTTAAGGGCCTAAATAACCCCGTACATCCTCAACACCTTCTAAACTCTAACCCTAACGCTTACTAGCCGAGCTTCTGGTTGTCGGCTTTCCTGGTGGCCAGGAAAGTAACGCCAAAGGTGCCCGTACCCAAGGTCGCGTCATCTTTGTACCTGCGTCTTACGGTTGAAAGCCTCATAGGTTTAGGGTTTGGGGTAGAGGGTTTCCCCGCAATCAAGAAAAGCTGAAAGTCGCATTTCCGAGGACAGCCAGGCTGCTTGCTTTCTAACGCGTCCGGCAGCTCGAAACCCATCAAAGCCTGAAGAACTAGATGAGGGCCTTGGACAGCCAGGTTTGCCAGGCTGGGCATCCGCCGCAAAATCGTGTCTGTCTTGGGCTCCACCCTCCGCTCCGACCCCTGCTCCACATGCAGAACCTCCAAAAAGGTAAGGTGATGAAATGACTGATGATCTGGCGGCATCACCTCCCATGGAGTTTCCTCCGGTCTGCACGAAACCACTTTGATGAGGACGACAAGGGCTGTTGTGAACATCATCGAGGATGCGACGGTATCTCGCAGTCAACGTATGGACTCTCGCCACGGAGTTGTGAGCTTTTCAGCTCGGAGTCTTGAGCCACAGGAGTTCGTGCAGGGTCCGCAACACCCGAGACCTTTGTGAACGGACTTTCCCAGCCTGCGGCACGCTTTGGGCTTAGTTTGGGTTTAACCCGCGCTTCTGATGAATAGGCTGATTAATGAACCCACATTTTCAGCAAGTTCTTTTTGGGGCCTTAGGCCAGGACTCTGGGCCAAGACTACTTCTGGAAGGACCAAAACTACAAGTAATTTAAGCTCCGCGTTGCTCCGAATTGAAACGCAAGTTGTCTTGAAGGCCTGATAAGTCCTAGAGGTTTATCTGGTGTCTACCTTGAGGTTTTGTCGTTCACGTCCAAGACAATTGGGGCACTTTTGCTTCCTACTTCACTGGGACGAGCCCGCAGAGGAGGGTTGTTTGGTTGCCTGGAAAGGCGACTCTCTCCGGAGACGAGAGGGTTTCAAGGTTTTTCTGAAGCCTTCCTGTTTCGATTAGCTTGCCCAGAGTTTGAAAGCAAAGATTTCTTATGAAATTGCTTCCGGCTCCTGAAGTTTACGGTTTCAGTAGGCTTCACGGCTTAACGTCTCATCAAGATTTCACTAGGACAGGCTCTGAAGATTAGGGTTCAGGTGGGGTTTGGCGGAGGGGAGCTGTTCTTGCGAATTGCTTCGTTTTGATGGGGCTATTCATCAGAAGCATGGGAGATATGGGGCCTCCTACTCATGATCGCACGGAGGAGCTCCTAACCCAGTTTTTGCCTCGACCACTTGTGCCTGAACCCTAAAACGCTAGACCTCCAAAGACGGTAAAATCCTAAACCTTCAGATTCAAAAGCTGGCTCCAGATTTAGGTCGATTCACTTCAATCTCGTTCGATTGTCAAGACAGCAAAGGGTAAGCGTGTTTTCGCTCGTTGTTACAATTCGCATTGTTACTGGTATTCCTGACGTTGTGATATGTTGTCATTCTACAACCAACTTTTACACTATGCCACTATGCCCTACTTTTGAGGAGCTCTTTTGCGGCTAGCATTCGGACGCTCTAATTCCAGGAAAGGCTTGGGAGGTCCACAGGGGTTACTTCCCACGCTGGGTCAGCAGAACAGCTCGGGATCCAGCTCGCAATCAGGCAGCATGATAGGAGTTGAAATACGGGCTTGTAATACGATACATATATATATACACACACACAGATATATATATATATTTATATTTATATTTATTTATTTATTTATATTTATATTTATTTATTTAGTTAAGCTTGGGATTATAAAATACAAGAGCTATATAGACTATATAGTTTATATTGTCTTCATTCAAGCACGACATTACCGCACTGGAGGCTTCCCCAGAAAGACAATTCCGAACACTCTGACTTTCGCCAGTGGTCGCTGGTGCCCTCGCGGCCTGCTGAACGGCCTCGCAGGGCAGTGGTTTTTTATTCGCCTTCTTGCCTCCCACCTAGCTAGGACGGGCAGTAGGGTTCAGCGGTATAAGGCATATCAAAGGCAAAGACTTCCAGTCATCTGTACTTGCGTATTGGCCAAAGATTTAGGAACGAAGCTCGCTGAAGGCCCAAGGATCCCGACACCCAATAGCTATCCAGTGCTTAGACTTAGACTGCACAAGCAGCCAAATGAAATTGATTGTTGTCATTACTATTATTGTTGTTCTTCTTCTTCTTTTCATCTCAGATTTAGCGGTTTTACCGATAGAGTCATGCGAACAAATTGTTGCCATTCTAGCTGTTGTTACTGCCGGCAGTTGCCGAAACACTCTCTGCCGCACCTGCCTTGATTGGTGCCATGAAGCCAACCAGTGGAAGCGAGGCCAGCTGCAGGGCGCAGAGGCAGATTCCCAGGCAGCAGCCCCAAAGAAACAGTCCTTTGGGCTTAGGCCGTCAGGCTTAGGGTTTAGTTTATGCTAGTTCAGGGGGTAATCGGCTTCAGGACTTAGCGTTTGGGGATTGAGGCTGACCCGAGGGAACCACTTGTTGGGGCCTCTTAAGAAGTCATTCGTGCTTGAAAACGCCAAAACCTCGGGACAGCTGACTGGATCTCTTCAATCCTTCCACGAACCTCTTAGCTTGAAGAGCTTGGGAGGCTTGGGGCTTGGGGATCAATCCTTAGGGTGCCTCTGCGGATGTTTCACGAATGCGTCATCGTAATTAGAATTGGGTTGTCGGGGTATACGAGGGTATTCTATACGCACTAACGTATACAAACTTCAGGGGATGGCATTGTACTCGATTTGTTCCGAACTTGGGCTTCAACCCTTTGCTTTGAGGGCTTTGCGATTCGGCATTGAAGGCTTCATTGCTTTGGCTTAAGTGTTTTTTGGTGCCCCATTTCTGCTGCAGGCAGAAAACAAAGGAACAATCAGGCTGGATGACAGGAGCTTACTTACTTTTACTGCTCTGAATGCGATGCATCGTGCCAGGATGCTGTCTGCCAAATGACGTGCCTCATCCACACCTCAGCTTGTCTACCGTCAGTCATACAGACTAAATCTCCCGATCCGGTGCACATCCACCCTTTTGTCTGAGAGTGAGCTTATGCGTCGCAGGCTTGCGTCCCTGTGCCCTTTGGATTATACTGGCTCGGAGCCGTAGCTGCAAGTTCTGCATCCAGGCCTGTTTAGACCTCGAAACAGGCCAAGCATGTGAACCGCAGCAATCACCGCTAACAGCACCCAGCGAGAGAACCTGCTGAACTCAGAATGCCCGGAGCCTTGCAATGGGAGTCGACATGGACTTCAATTGGTAAACGTTTCGGAACCCACAGCCAAAGCCGGGCACCTAACCTGCGAAGAGACCTACCCAAGCTAATGCCTAAACCCGATACGGTACTCAACCAGAATCCCGAAGTGTCCAGATTTTTCTGCAAGAGGCCCTGTCCCCAGTACTTTGTGGGGACTAACCCGGATCCGGCAGAGGACAGCGCCAGCGAAATGAATCCTGTGACGAGGTGTCAAGATGAGGTGGTTACTCTTACTGTTGTTATTGCCCAGCGGTGCGAGTGTATCGACCATCGTTCGCATTACTGCTGTTAGCCTGGTTTTTGAACATCCGGACACGAAAACTGTCAAATAGGGATCTCGTCCTACTACCTCCTTTTGAGGGCCCCGGTCAGGCCGCAGAACCGTAAAACATCCGGAAGACTTGTGGGCATCCGAAACCCGCAAAGCTTACAGTGCCTATTCTGCTTGGGATCAGCTTTCCGAGGCCGAATCCCTCAGCTCAAAGTCCGTACTTCCGGTGGGTTTTTCATGGTTTCAGATGTTTTTGTCTCCGAGATTCTTTCGGCTAAGCCCTTTTTCCGCCCAACGCCCCAGCCCAACAATCCACTGATGGAAGGTGTTGGGTTTCGTGGCGGCTGCCGCCTAATTTGCAAACAACTAGAAAATTATACAACATGGGTAGTTCTCTAAATTGGGGTCCCTTTTTGGATCCCCAATATAGTACGGCACCCAGAAAAAACCACCCTAAATTAGAGAACTACCCACATGCGGAATAAAACAAAAATAAAACAGACACTACCTCTGTGGGTCTGCAGGACGCACCGCCCTTCACAGAATTGAAAATCATCACCGTGTGATTGATCCCAACATGTTTTCCCTTTTACCTCGTTGGTTCCACAGAATGCCTCCGGGCAAGGGAGGGTCGGGTAACAACTGGCCGTCTATGTAAAATGACATGGGCCCTCGTGTCAATAGGAAGACAGCACCCTGTCTACAGTCAACAGTTCAGCGGATAGTTTGACCCCATCGCCGACCTCGACATGTGCACACATTGGTGCCACAGGCACTCTGGCAATGCTTTGGCTGCTAACATGAGAACAGGGCTTTGGGGTATGTAACACTATGGCTATAATAAGGTACCCTAGAGGATAGAATTCATATTGGGTGAGGGCATTGCTTGGAGTCTTTTGGGTCTCGGAATGTAGACCTGAGGTCACGTCTCCTACTTAAGACTCGAGACTCGTGTCTAATGCGGCTTAAGCATTTCCAGCTTCGGGCGGAGGGTTCCGGTCCTCCCAGGTTCCAGAACTGCTGCGTCACCTTGGGAGGCTCGCGTCAAAGCTCTCACAGGGGTTCGAGTGGCTCGGGAAGTTGGGTGTTGTCTAGGAGACCGTCACGTCTTGTGGGCGCGTTCGCACTCTCCGAACTTCTATGTCGTGCCGCATGACACTGGCACACGTGCTGAGGCCGTTGCTTGGTAAGCCGCCGCCTGCACGCCCGACGGATCTATGGCCGTCACCCTTCGCACCTTGTCTTATCGCTGCTTCTGCCACCGACACTAATTACGCCAGTTTGAATATCCGAACAGAAAGGACTGCTGCGTGGGATGGAAAACGGTGGTTTGTACCTGTTCCCTCTCTATCCGAAAGTGTGTGCAAGGCATGCTGTGGATTTCCTCAGCCAGATCAGCCGTGCAGCTGCAAACAGGAACATCAAGTTCGTCGACATGGACCTCACCTTGCGGCAAAGGAGTGACACGTCCTGCTCTCATGTTTGACAAGCTGCCTTGCCTGAACAGCGAAGCCACTGTTCAAGATCGAGCGGATGGTCTTCGCATCCTCAGCTGGCTGGCGAAGGAGAGAGGCAGAATGTGCAGAAGGCCTTCGAGGCCAGTGGTCGACATTATGGGCAGAACCTAGACTTCCCAACAAAAAGTCTAAGCCCAAGCCCTTCATAGGCAAAGCAGGCGTCAGGTAAGGAGGGGAGCCCTTCCAGCAGGCCACGCCGGCGCAGCAGGGACCTCTGCGAAGCGAGGTCGCCCGGTGTGCGCTTGGACCAAGAGGAATTATGGTCCTATGGTTTGACGAGAGGTCAAAAAAAATCGGCACTGATGCTCGGACACTTCAGGCGAGGCATGTTCCAAGCGGTCACGGGACCTCTGAACCTGCAGCACGCGCCCTATCTCGTGCGCCAATCTGCCTGAAAATGCGCGCAAACACCAAG